CCCCAAAACCCCAAAACCCCAAAACCCCAAAACCCCATAGGGGAAGTCCATGATTGAATGTATAATAGAGAGAATATTTTTGGATTTCTTAGTGTTTTTAATCAAGTATTATTAGAATTTGATCAAATCTGTTTTCTTTGAGGATACTCAAAGTTTCATCTGATTTTAATCAGCAATTTTCAATATCTAACTGTTTAAGGCTTATTCTGAGATCTGGAGAGGTAGAAAATCCTTTGATCAAATTTTCAAATTGATTGAAGTTATTTGCCCAATCACTCGCATAAACTGATCCAGATTCAAATAAACTTAATTCTTGAATTTTAGTATTCTCCAAAGCTTTCGAGAAATCTGGAACTTTTGGAACTGACAACTTACAAGCCTGCATTTCAAGAAATCACACATGTTTAAAAGAAGATATCAATCTTTTTAGCTGGAATTTATTAATAAAGAATTGATAAAATCACATTTCTCATAAAACTTTAAAACTCAATCTGTCCATTCATTTAAAATAAACAGAAATATTTGGAAATGCCAAAAATCGAGCTGCAATTCAGAACCGATTTACTCTATCCGGAAATACCTTATCCAAAAGATTATGATCATTTTTATTTCTCCTTTGAACCCCACACAAAGTAATATTCCCAATATCCTCTAACTTATCCTTCCTTAACTTTCTCATAAATTTACCACTCAATGAGTTATTTGAGTAAAGCCTAATACCTCCTTCACAAGCAACTCTACTAGAAATTCCTGATACTAAGACGTTCAATAATCGATAACCTCAGTCCTATTTCTGCTGAATAGATACTAAAATATACACTCTTAACTCTCTTCAAGTCCGCTGCCTTACTCCTTGCATGTATTGTCTTCTCTAAACTGGGATTTTAGCAGAAGAAATTTAGGAATTAAGTAGGTTTAGGAAGAGGGATGGAGGTTTGGGAATAAGTGGGGAAGAATAGTTTGTGGTGTGGGAGGAAGGGGTTTTGGGGGTTTTGGGGAGAAATGTATTTTTTAGTGATTTGGGGGATTGGAGCAGGTTGGATGGGGAATTTGGAAGATTTTGAAGAGATAGTAAGGTTTTGTTTTGATAAGAAAATGAGGTTTTGGAAATGGAGTATCGAGATAATGAGATGTAGAAGTTTTTGGGTCTTAAAAACTTAGCGAGATTTCTTAATCTGTAATTTTTCTGGCTTATAAAATAAATACAATAAGGCAAAAAGCCGATTTAAGCCTTCAGATTTATTTTATAAAGCTTATACCTTAAAAACCTTCTTAAATCTCCATCTGACCAACAATCCCTCTCCTACAGCTCATCTCTCCCATACTCTTAACCCAACTCCTCTAAAATTGCCAATTTCCATACACTTACACTAAAATTCTAGATTCCATTCCACCATCAACTCCACCTCCATTCTTCATCTCTAAATAAATTTATAAACCAACCCACCAAACCATAATCGGGGTTTTGGGGTTTTGGGGTTTTGGGGTTTTGGGGTTTTGGGG